AACATTATTTGATGGCCTTTGTGGCAGGGATGGAAATCCATATTTTATGTCACACACAGAGTATACATCTAGATATATAGATAGATAGATAGATAGATAGATAGATAGATAGATAGATAGATAGATAGATAGATAGATAGATAGATAGATAGCTACATTTATTTATATTTTTTTATATTATATTATATTTATATTATATTTATTTATTTATATTTATAATTTTTTAAGCAAATTGTTTATCTTTATTGTTAATTTCCTACTCTTCATCCATCCATCCATCCATTTTCCGTCAGGCGTTTCCCAAGCGGGGTCGCGAGGGGTGCTCTTCCACGCGCTAGAGGCGGGGTACACCCCGGACAGGTCGCCAGTCCATCGCAGTTTTTAACTCTTGACTATTATGTTATTCTTATATACTTTTATAAGGTCAATATTTATACGACCACTTTTTGTATAATATGTTTGCTGCTGTAAACACCAGAATTTCCCCGTTGTGAGACGATAAAGGGGTTTTCTATTCTATTATATCCTAAAAAAAAAAACTAACTCCGACTGCCCCCGCCCGGTGCGCCGGCTGCCACGCCGGGTGAGTAATGGAGTAGACGCTCAGTGAGCGTCAGTTCGTAGCTAGAAGCAGGTGAATTTCGCCCCGGAAGTGAGATTCCGCTCCCGAGGATGGTGTTTCTTCTATTGTACAGGTCGAACATGAAAAATGAACTATAGGCATTTTATGTCAAACAGGAAATATTCGACAGACTGTCTGGTTATTATACATGATATGAAGTAACCTAGACGATATGGACGACAGTCAAGCACAACAGGGAGTCTCCTACACGGTGAGACACTGAAACCATCATTAGCTACTTTATTGTTACCTAATTTTCCTTTAGCAGCGTCAAATAAGACATCCGGATGTGTTTTTTTTTACAATCTGGCTGTAATATTTTATTTATTTAACTTTTTTTAAGGTAAAATGTATGTAATTATAATCCTGAAACGAATTTTTAAGTGATTTTTATATTAAATATATTAGCATTTCTGCTCCGCAACTGAAGTAATTATTTTGTTTTTTCAGGATAATCTCATCGGGACTTTACTTGCCATTTCCGGGAATCTGCTTGTCAGCATTTCTCTAAGTATTCAGGTAGAATTTTATTTAAACCTTCGTTGGGTTATAAATCAGCTGTTTTATAAACCAGACAACAGCTTTGAATTTCCAGTGTGATGATGAGCGTTTGAATGCATGACCTTTAGGGGAATATTTATCCAACAATGTCACATGATCATCATACGTCACTCATTGTGTTGCTGACCATCCCATTTGCATTTCTTTCCTTTTTGTCAAGCTGCATAACAATGTGCTCTGATCCTGCAAGATGTCTGTTTAAATTCACCATTTTGAATTCTTTTGCAGAAGTACAGCCATGTGAAACTAGCAGGAACAAAGGAGCAACGCACTTTCTACCAGACCAAGACCTGGTGGTCTGGTTTTGTATTCATCTGCATTGGGGAGGGGGCCAACTTTGTGTCTTATGCCTTTGCTCCCATTGCTGTTGTGGCGCCCCTCAATGCCGTGTCGGTCCTGAGTGAGTATCCCCCTCATGATGCTTGGTGATTTTAGACGTCAGGTTTACAAACTAATACAGGGGTCTTCAACGTTTCCCATGCCAAGGACCAATGGCATAACGACACAACAATAGGCTCATAAGCAACATTAACTGGGTAGGCCCCATATAAAGTACAAGACCCCATTTCCTGGACAACAATACACACTTCATCGTTCTTCACCTTCACTACACATGGATATACTTTAGTATATTCTGCTGTAAAATTAGTTTTATCGGGCTACCTTCAGCTTCAAAGCCCCCCTCCTCACCTACGCTCTCTCCATTCATCTTCTGGTCGCAATCTCTACTCACTGTAGCAGCAACGTCCACCTCTCCCTCTTCGGTTCTTTGAAAGAATGTGTTTATTTTGGGAAGTTTTTTCCGTTCTTCCAGCAGCTCTTCTTTGCTTTTTCTTTTCTGGAATCCGCTTAAGTAACTTTTTTTTGGTCGCTAACACATTGTATGTAACGGTAATGGTTTTAATCTACGCTCTGGGTTTCCCATAATTCCAAGTTGTAGTATAAAAAATAAAATACTCAAATGCATCGTTCTTCTAAGATCTTTATTGCGGTTTGAAACATATTATGAACTATACACAGTTATTAACATAGTAATTAAAAGTACCACTGTCTGCTTTGCTATTGGTGACGTGTTTAAACAGCTCACCATCATGTTGAACCCGGCCATGTGTTGCAGTATAAATAAGGTCGGGTCAGATCATCTAGCATCACGTGTGTTAAATAGGAATTTTTCTCACCATTACATCTGCAAGGAGATGTCCTAGTCCATAATTGCGTAGGGGGCCTACCAGGAGTCAGTGACGGGGCCCCTAAGAGGTTGGGGGTCCCTAAGAGGTCGGGGGCCTCTAAGCAACTGCAGTCTCTGCTTACCGATATTTACGCCATTGCCAACTGTCAACAAATATGTTGCCAGTTTAGTAGAAATGTTTGTTCAAAATATGTTTCAATTAGTAGAAAAATTGCAGGGGGGAATATATAAAAAAAAAAAAAGTCTAATCAACCAAACTTTCACGACCCCCATGTAGTACCTCTGTGGACTCCCTAGGGGTCACGGACCCCTTGTTGAAGACCTCCGAAGTAATATTTATAAACAACTATAAGCAAATTTTTTTCCTCCTGTATCATTCAGTTTGATAATAATAAAGAAATAAACATGTCTTTTTCTTAATGTTTTGCAGCAAGTTCGATTTTGGGGTTTTTATTTCTGCGGGAAAAATCGAAAGCAAAGGACTTTGCAAGTAAGTAAACAAAAGATGCACAGATGAGCCATGCAAATATTTCTGGTCTTGTCCTGTTTCATGCAAATCTAAATCACCTTCTCATCTATTCTCACAACTAAAAAAGTATTATTCTTGTAAGTGTATGTTTTATTACAAGAGTTGTAATAAATGGGAACAACTGAAGTCAGAATCTTTACACACATTGAACAGTTTAATTCCTCTTGAAAATATTCATCACCAGCCCAATTTTGGCTAAAACTTTTGATTTGTGGATATTATTGAAGCCCTAAAGTGGTAGATGTGATCAAATGTCTAAAGTGTGTTCTTAAAAGTATACTGGTAAGGGTTCCTCAGTCATCCAGGTCATAGTCGTTCCAAAAAAAAATTAAAAACAATCCACTGGACTGTACAATACAGAAGGGATGTCTGTATTGTACAGTTCTGGCAGTAATCGGGTCCTGGACGGTTTGGGACATTTCTAGAAATCTGAGGCCCAGATAAATTATTATTTATCAAATGAAGGGATTCATTTTACAGGGTGGGACTAATTCTGTTTGGAGAATATAATTTAATCCCTTAAACATCTTTTTTTTTTCTTGATGTAGTTTAATTTTCTAGAAAAATAAGGAAAAGAAATCTTAACGGGTTTATTATAGCATAAAGCTTGCTGCTGTTTACACCTCTAAACATCCTCATGCTGACTTGATTGCTTGCTTTCAATAATTTCTGTGCTTTGTTGTTCCAGAGAACCATGGGCTTACCTTCTTGGGCTACGTTCTAATTATAGGAGGAACTTATCTGTTTGTGTCATTTGGACCAAACTCTCATGAGAAACTCCAAGCAGTGAACATCGTGAGGCACATCGTCGGGTGGCCTGTTCTCCTGTATTTGGTGAGATCGTTCAGTTTCCGTGCAGAATCCGTTCGCGCTCCTGTGTTTTTAAATGTTGCTTATTGTTATTGTGCTGACAGCTCCTGGAGATTATCACCTTCTGCCTGCTGCTATACTTCTACAAACAGCGCAGCGCTAACTACCTTGTTATTATTCTCCTGCTGGTTGCTTTACTGGGTGAGTATTCTGCATTTCAGTCAGTCAGTCAGTCAGTTTCCTTAAAATACAGATGTGTTTGGTTTTTTTTTACAAGGTTTTTTTTTTGTTTTTGGTCTCTCTGTTTTCTTCTGGAACAGGCTCAGTCACAGTGATCACAGTCAAGGCGGTTTCTGGTATGCTGCTCCTCACGCTCGAAGGTTCCATGCAGCTCGACTACCCAATCTTCACCGTCATGTTCGTGTGCATGGTGGCATCCGTGGTCTTCCAGGCTAGGTGAGGGGCAGGGAGGTTCAAAAATCCTTAGATTTACGCTCTCATCTTTGTAGTTGCTGTGAAAAATGTTTGGATCGCTGCTATTTTCCCAGGTTTCTTTCCCAAGCTTGTAATCTCCATGATCCCTCTCTGGCTGCCTGCATCAACTACATCTTCTCCACCTGCCTTGCAGTAGTAGCTGGTAAGGCACAGCCTTGTTATTTCTGTAAAATAGTTATATAAACAGCAGTATGCACAGTTATAGCTTCAGCTGCACAGCTTTTAGCCTTTAAACACCATCTTCTCCTTTTTTAGGGGCTGTCTTCTACTTGGAGTTCCTGAATGAAGATGTGCTCCACATCTGCATGTTTGTGCTTGGGTGAGTGATGGTCCCTTCTGGATTTATTAGACTTAGACAGGTTTATTTTTCATTTTGTTTACACAAGTGTAAAACAAAAATAAATTTCATTTGGAACAGCTCTCTGCAAAATGTCATCTTTTTTAAAAGTGCAGCCTTGAAAAATAGTAAAGAATATATATAAAAACAGTAATATAAACATATGACTGTAAATTTACAGTTCTAACCTTTTTTTTTTTAATTTTTTATTACCTTAAACCTGTATAGATTTTGCTTATGCCAACCATAGACGTCTCTCTAATCCAGTGGAGTTGTTTTTACAGTGGGAAGGCACTTTTATTTATTTAACCATTTATCCACATGGTTGCTGTGTTTAAATGATAATCTATTCATTTCATTTATATAAAGCCCCCGTCACACCTTTACGATTTAGACCAGCGTATGCTTGATGTACAAAAAATCTGGCAAAATCACTGGCATATGTTGCATAGGTTATGGGTAAGTTTTGAGCATGTGCAACGTGTTTCTAACTTACAGCTACCGTACTGGGCAGGCGGTGAACAGCAGCTAGGTTAATACTGTGATCAAAGACATCTTTTTATGCAGATCGGGCGCCTCGGGCGCATCTCTGCTCCCCTCAGAAGCTTCCCTGAACAGCGATGCTTGTGCATCATTTCATAGGCATTACGCTGCCATGCTTTATGCATAAGTTAGACTGTCGTTGGACATACCTTCTGGACTCATTATAAATATGCTATGTATACGCCCAAAATTAAAAAAAAATACATACATAGAAAAGTTCAGCATGTGCCAGCATTTTCTGGGACATCAGGATAAATCGGCAAGGTGTGACATGGCCCTAACCTAACCCAGATCTAAACTTATCGACTTTCCCTCTGACCTGTCTGTTTTTTTATTTCTGTTTACTGATGCTCTTTAACAAACCTTTAGGGCCACAGACAGAACCGATCAGTTACGCTCGGATGAAATTACATACAGTTGGACGGTTTATTTAGGGGTATCAGCGTAAATAGGGCTGTGTACAAATCCAAGCAGCATTTTTCAAATCTTCTTTGTTAAACATTTAATTTTTTCCTTCCTCCTCACATTCCTGCCCTGCTTTTGTTGGTATCAATACTACGGAAGCTCGGTACATTTACAGTTCGAAATTGAAACTGTTCATATTTTAAGAGTATCAGGATTTGATTATAAAAAGAAAAACTGTGAAAATATTTGTTTTCTGCAGGTCTGCTCTCTGTTTCCTCGGAGTCTTTCTCGTCACTAAATACAGGAAAAAGCCCAAGATCTTTGAGCCGTACGTCACCATGGATATGGCTAAGGGTTGGTATTAAATCTAAATGCTAAGTTCTACATTTTATTAACAGTCAGGATAGAAGAGCTTAGTTTGGAGCAATTCGTATGCTTTTTTTGTTTAATGTTTTTCCGTATCTTCCAGGTGTCCCGACCATTCATGACAACGGCCTCGTCGTTCAGCCGGACTTTAATGGCTCTTTCTCCTACGGCTCCCTGGTTAATAATGACGGCGTTGCCCCTGCCTCTCTGCCGGTCAACTTGGAGCATCCAGTTGTGACTGTGAGAGGCACAGACGCACCTCATGGTCATCCTGACCTGAAGGAAGATTGAAACTTATCGCTGCCTCACAGAAAACCCCCCTGATGGGCGTTTTTCAGCAAACTTTTCATTTCCAGTCTCGCCTTAAACTTTAACATGTGCTTCCTTTTTTAAACCAGCTGAACCAAAGCTGTTCAGGGAAAAGCTTTCTTTAAGGACTTGTTTGATTCATATTTAGGCTTCCTGACTTCTTCCTTGCAAAGTTTAGCTTTTTTGTATCTGTGACAAGTTTCCGTCTCTATAAATGCACATTGGGGAAAACGAGGAGTTGTCTGGATAAGCTCAAACTGGTGAAGCTTGCATAACTTTGTATTTATTTTGACAACTGACTTTGTTGCAAATTCTGTGTGTAGAAGACTCATAGATCTCAGAGGAACCAAAGGTTAGCAGCAGAATGAAGGGATGTTTTCTTTTTTAATTGAAGTTGTCTGTCATCCTTAATAAACCCACTCAGCAGTGACTTCTTCCATATCACTATTGAACATGTACCATGAAGTTTTATTACTAGTGCTACCCTGCAGACTGGCCTGTTCTTCTGGTAAATATTTGAACTAATCTAGCTGCAGGGTTTTTGAGCTGACAGTGTAAAGTTACAGCTGTACAGTTTCTCTGTATTTTAAATGAAGTATAAACTGCCTCTTTATGTCGTGACTAGTTTTCCCAGTTTAACCATTTATATTAACTTCCTGCAACATGTTCATGAATTATGTCTAGTTTTTTAGTGCATATTTAAAATGAAGCTTATTGCTGAATGAATTCAGGGTAATTTCTTGATTAAAAACAGATGATGGTTCAGATCTGTTGATGTAAACAAGGTTCAAATGTTTTTCAAAAGGGTGAATTTAACCAAACAATAAATAAAATGGAACATTTTTCATGACATTTTTTATATAATTTCAAATTTTTGCAAAGTCATTTAAGGGCCTGTCCTTTCATTTGTTTGCTTTTACTGCTGTTTAATATCACAATTTGTATTTAGTTCTTTATAAAAGCGACCAACATAACTAAAAGATATTTCATCCTGTGAGTCATACTGCAGCCTGTGCATGAAGGGCCTGTCAGACCAAAGCAGCATCACTCCATAAATGTTCTGCAACAGGATAGCAAAGAAAAAACAAACAAACTGAAATCTCTTCCAATCTTTTCATTATAACAAGAAGAGAATCTCAATGGGCATCATATAAATAGATTTATTTTTCCAGTTATGTACCAATACATCAGTAAGTGTTAGTGTGATTATATGGGACAGACCAACACAACATAACTGAAGTAGAACGTCAGAATGATTAATATAAATCTGTCAATTTAAATTTTTACCTCTAAGAAAATCCAATTAGAAAGGTTGTCTTTGGGCTAAATCTCAGTCCACTTGTTCCTTTGGCTCAGAGGTTTGTTAAATAACAATAAACAAACAGGATCGTAAAGACAAATGGACAAGGAAAACAGGTCAGTAATAAAGAACATTTCACAGTGCAATGGAATTCATGTAGGGAAGTTTTTAAGTAGATTTAGATTATAAAGCAGGGTTTGCAACCTTTAAAAATTTGGTACAGCTAATTAAACTGGTTTAGAGCAGCAAACATTTCAATTAAACCTACTTATTTTAACATGTATCCACCAAATATTGCTGATATTTTTGGAAAATCTTGTTAAAGAAAAAAACAAAATGTTACAGTTAAGAAACAAACTGCCATTACCCAGTGGAGAAAATGCTTAAACATGCATTTATAAGCTTAGGTATTGTTCAATAAATTAGCTGGCTCTACATCATTTTTAGCCAAAGTAATTAAAAGCCATGGTGGAGTGTCTAAAGACCCCTGTTGTAAAATACAAACATATAAAAGAACCACTGAACATCTGACAAAGCTCTATTCAGTCCCTCATCTGAAAATAGAGGCTACAGCTACAAAGCAAGACATGTTTATCTGAAGTGACATCCTGAGCAACAGGATCTAGAGATGCATCGATCTAATTTTCCAATTGGATATCAGCTCCGATATTCACTAATTATCTGGATTGGACATTGGACAAATGATGCTGATCCAGTATTCCAGTTTGGGTATCTCTATTTTTATTCATGTACACCAAAATGCAATTACAGCAATCTAATGACTTAAAGTTTATTATTGCAACTCTGATTATGTAATCATGCAGAGCACACACAGCAACTAGTGATGATTTATATCTGAATGAATTTGTTACCTTTTTTGACAATGTTCATGATGCATTTATTCACTTGGCGGGGTGTACGGTTAATCCATTGAACATTCTTATCGGATCGGTATCGGATATCGGAAAAAGGCTAAGCCCATGCATCGCTATCGGATTGGATCGGAAAAAGATGAATTGGTGCATCTCTATCAGAGGTTTATCAAAGAAGCTGCTAAGAAGTCTGGTTAATATGGGGGAACATAAATTCTAAAAAGGTGATGTAAAAGTAGATTTCATTTGAAAAACTGAACTTAAAATGTTTAAATGAGGCATAGTGTTTAGTAGCCTAAATAAATTTTATTCTGTAATTTTTGCTGATTTTTTAGCACATTATTACAAAAAGAGAAAGCCTAATGTGTCTACCAATGGATAGACAAAGCCGGACTGAAGGACAGCACAGCAGCACTCATCATGGCTGCACAGGAGCAGGCCCTAAGCAGCAGAGCAATAGATGCCCAGATCTACCACACCAGGCAAGACCCCAGGTGAAGACTGTCAAAGAGGCCCCTGAGACAATCCAGCACATTACTGCAGGGTGTAAGATGCTGGCAGGGAAAGCTTACAGGGAGCGCCATAACCAAGTGGCTGGAATAGTGTACAGGAACATCTGTGCAGAGTATGGGCTGGAAACCCCAAGGTCAAAGTGGGAAACCCCTCCAAAGGTGGTATAGAATGATCAAGCCAAGATCCTGTGGGACTTGCAGATACAGACGGACCGATGGTAATGGCAAACCCGTTGTAATACCCATGGTAATGGAAAGCCGTTGTGGTTGACATAGCAATACCAAGTGACTGCAACATCAGGAAAAAAGAACATGAGAAACTAGAGAAATACCAGGGGCTTAGAGAAGAGCTGGAGAAAACCTGGAAGATCAAGGTATCAGTAGTACCCGTGGTCATTGGGGCACTCGGGGCAGTGACCCCCACACTGGAGGAGTGGTTACAGCAGATCCCTGGAAATACATCAGACGTCTCAGTCCAGCAAAGTGTAGTGTAGAGGCTTATCCTCCCATGACGGAATCTCTAGCACCTATATATATCTCTATGTATAGATATATATACTGTATATATATTTTTTTTCTTTTTTTTTC